CGATTTTTCAAATACTGTAATTTATTTATCTAATAATAATGCAGCACACAACCCTGAAATCAAAGAAAAAGCCTGAGGAAGGCCATTAAATAGCAGCACACAACCCCGTGCCTTCCTCAGGAGTGAATATAACTACAACAACAACGACTACTACAACAACAACCCAAAAAGGTTGGTTACTGTCTATACTGTGCTGAAAAAGTTGTCCACCCTATTCAGACGAGGCGATTTTTGATTCAACACGAATTGTTATTTATATTAATGAAAATGTATTTAAATCGCAAAATTTTATGAATTGGCGTAAAATTGGTTAGCCAAGCGTTGGTAGAAGTGCTTTTAGCGAAGCTGAGAGATAAAATAAGAGTACAACAAAAAAAGTATGTATACAGAACAGTGTTGGCATTTTTGGTACAGTTTTACTTGTTTTATACAATTTCATTTACAATATACTTTCCTACTACGCAGTACTTTTTAGTACAATTTTGTAATGAATACTAAAAATATATAGCTCTGAAAATTCACAGCAAGAAATTTTTTGTATTCTCTTTTGTTCGCCTGTTCGTATTTATCTTTGCAAGTTTTGAAAAATGGCTTGAACGGACCAGTAAAATATAGCCTAGGCAAATTTTTAAAGAAACTTTTCGATACTAAGTTTTATTAAAACAAAATGTCGAAGTCAGCTTCCTATAGAAAGTCTTCGTTAGTTATAAGAAGAGATTTTCTTAAATATAATACCTTTACGGCACTCACATATTGAAAAGATTTTACTATTTGTTATATTATTCTTTAATTTTAATTATCTGTTTATAAAATATAATGTATTCTTTAAGAAAAACTGTATGAACCCAAGATTAAATCTTTGCGAAACATCCAAAAACCAACATACTTTCGTAAAAATTTCGGGCTTTATTAATATTCTTTAGTTTTTAGCCCATTCCATTTTAGTATAATAAAGTGCAAGTTTAAAGCAGCTGGGACTTACCGTTGAACTTGGCAATTTTTTTTGTCGACGATGTCAGCCATTTTCTTCCATACGAAGTGTGTTCGACGATTTTTTTATATGGAGAAAATTAGCAACGCCTTCATGAAAGAAATCTTAAAAAACTTAGTTATATTAAAATTTAATGGGCTAAAAAACCGCACACTCAAAATAAATCTAGCAAATCGAATTAAAAAGCTCGAAATTTTTACGAAAGTGTGTTGGTTTTTCTAATGTTGCACAAAGTTTGAACATTGGATTTGTACGGCTTTTCTTAAAATATAAACCGTATTTTTACAAACAATAATTCAAATTGAATAATACTAAGATAAATGGTCAAATCTTAATGTAAAGTTTTGATAAGCACTTGAAATGCTATTAAAATGTCAAATTTTAGTACTGAATCCAAAGAAAATGTCTCTTTTATCCATTAATAATAACTTAAATATGCTTTTTGTTAAGATGTATACCTGAAAATGTGTGCATACATATTTGCGTTAAATGCAGTACATGTGCACGTGGAATCAATTTGTAAAAGTGTAAAATACGTAAACGTATGTACATAAACAATAAAACTTTCTCATGAATACCATAAAGTCATTGGTCTTGAAGGGAATGTACTTAGAAAATATCTGAGCGAAAAAAAGTTGAACGAGCTCGAAGTTGGCCGGCGACCAACTTTGTTGAAAGCGATTAGTTGAAAGGCGTTCGGACGAGGCGATTTTTACTTTCAACTAAAAGTTGCCTGAAAAATCGCCTTGTGCGAAAGCCCTATCAAAGTTTCGAGGATAATCGTAACAATTGGTGTCAGAAGTGGGATTGTTAAATAAATCCCGAAGGATAAACTTTTGAAAATGGCAAAAAATTCAAGACCTAAAGATCGAGGATCTCAAACAGGAGTTGGAGG